ATGGCGTTGAGTCTGGTGCCCGGGTGAGTCTCTTTCACATTTTAAACCTTGTATTTGTTCCGTTGAATCTGATGTGAGTCTGTTTGTGTTTCAGACTCCACAGCTCCTCTTCACCTGTGAGTATTGTACCATTTTTCTGCTTCTGAAACTAGAGACTTTCACTTTAACCTGGGTCACTGTAGTTAAAGCTTCACTGTGGAGCTTTTCTGGGGGAGATATTTCACAGTATTATAGATATTTCTGTTTCCATGGAGACCAACAGGTGTGTCCTGATACCTGATGATGTAATAGTTTCAGATGGAGGCGGGGCCTATAGAACGCAATATAACTCTATATAACTCTATATAACTCTATATTTAACTCTATTTAACTCTATATAACTCTATTTAACTCTATATAACTCTATATAACTCTATTTAACTCTATATAACTCTATTTAACTCTATTTAACTCTATATAACTCTATATAACTCTATATAACTCTATATAACTCTATTTAACGCTATATAACTCTATTTAACTCTATATAACTCTATATAACTCTATTTAACTCTATTTAACTCTATATAACTCTATATAACTCTATTTAACTCTATTTAACTCTAACAGTTCATCTGTTCTTGACAAAAGAAAAGCTACAACACAAATTTACGGATGTGGGAGGATTTGTTCACATCAGCAGGAGAAACAGACACAAGTAGAAATAAAAAGCTTTCGGTTTGTCCGACTTTTACTGCTGTGACCAGATCTGCCCAAGAAAGAAAAACCATCTTAACATAAACCGGCGCCTCGTCCCCACAAATCCCCCCCCCGGAGCAGTGACATGAGTGTGTAGAGTGTGTAGAGTGTGTAGAGTGTGAGTGTGTAGAGTGTGTAGAGTGTGAGTGTGTAGAGTGTGAGTGTGTAGAGTGTGTAGAGTGTGTAGAGTGTGAGTGTGTAGAGTGTGTAGAGTGTGAGTGTGTAGAGTGTGTAGAGTGTGTAGAGTGTGAGTGTGTAGAGTGTGTAGAGTGTGAGTGTGTGAGTGTGTAGAGTGTGTAGAGTGTGAGTGTGTGTGTAGAGTGTGTGTGAGTGTGTAGTGTGAGAGTGTGTAGTGTGAGTGTGTAGTGTGTAGAGTGTGAGTGTGTAGAGTGTGTAGAGTGTGAGTGTGTAGAGTGTGAGTGTGAGTGTGTAGAGTGTGTAGTAGTGTGTAGTGTGTAGTGTGTAGTGTAGTGTGAGTGTGAGTGTGTAGAGTGTGTAGTGTGTAGTGTGTAGAGTGTGTAGAGTGTGTAGAGTGTGTAGTGTAGTGTGTAGATGTGAGTGTGTAGAGTGTGTAGAGTGTGTAGTGTGTAGAGTGTAGTAGAGTGTGTGTGTAGAGTGTGTAGAGTGTGAGTGTGTAGAGTGTGTAGAGTGTGAGTGTGTAGAGTGTGTGTGTAGAGTGTGTAGAGTGTGTGTGTAGAGTGTGAGTGTGAGTGTGTGTGTAGAGTGTGAGTGTGTAGTGTGAGTAGAGTGTGTAGAGTGTGTAGTGTGTAGAGTGTGTAGAGTGTGAGTAGAGTGTGTAGTGTGAGTGTGTAGAGTGTGAGTGTGTAGTGTGAGTGTAGAGTGTGTAGTGTGTGTAGAGTGTGTAAGAGTGTGAGTGTGTAGAGTGTGTAGAGTGTGTGTGTAGAGTGTGTAGAGTGTGTAGAGTGTGAGTGTGTAGAGTGTGTAGAGTGTGTGTAGAGTGTGAGTGTGTAGTGTGTAGAGTGTGAGTGTGTAGTGTGTAGAGTGTGTAGAGTGTGAGTGTGTAGAGTGTGTAGAGTGTGTGAGTGTGAGTGTGTAGAGTGTGAGTGTGTAGAGTGTGTAGTAGAGTGTGAGAGTGTGAGTGTGTAGAGTGTGTAGAGTGTGTGAGAGTGTGAGTGTGTAGAGTGTGAGAGTGTGAGTGTGTAGAGTGTGTAGAGTGTGAGTGTGTAGAGTGTGAGTGTGTAGAGTGTGAGAGTGTGTGTGAGAGTGTGTAGAGTGTGTGTGTAGAGTGTGAGTAGTGTGAGTGTGTAGAGTGTGTAGAGTGTGAGTGTGTAGAGTGTGTAGAGTGTGTGTAGAGTGTGAGTGTGTAGAGTGTGTAGAGTGTGTAGAGTGTGAGTGTGTGAGAGTGTGTAGTGTGTAGAGTGTGAGTGTGTAGAGTGTGTAGAGTGTGTAGAGTGTGTAGTGTGTAGAGTGTGTAGAGTGTGTAGAGTGTGTGTGTAGAGTGTGTAGTGTGAGTGTGAGAGTGTGTAGAGTGTGTAGAGTGTGTAGAGTGTGTAGAGTGTGTAGAGTGTGAGTGTGTAGAGTGTGAGTGTGTAGTGTGTAGAGTGTGAGTGTGTAGAGTGTGTAGAGTGTGAGTGTGTAGAGTGTGTAGAGTGTGTAGAGTGTGTAGAGTGTGAGTGTGTAGAGTGTGTAGAGTGTGAGTGTGTAGAGTGTGTAGAGTGTGAGTGTGTAGAGTGTGTAGAGTGTGTAGAGTGTGGTAGAGTGTGTGTGAGTGTGAGAGTGTGTAGAGTGTGTGAGTGTGTAGAGTGTGAGTGTGTAGAGTGTGAGTGTGTAGAGTGTGTAGAGTGTGTAGAGTGTGAGTGTGTAGAGTGTGTAGAGTGTGTAGAGTGTGAGTGTGTAGAGTGTGAGTGTGTAGAGTGTGTAGAGTGTGTAGAGTGTGAGTGTGTAGAGTGTGAGTGTGTAGAGTGTGTAGAGTGTGAGTGTGTAGAGTGTGTAGAGTGTGAGTGTGTAGAGTGTGTAGAGTGTGAGTGTGTAGAGTGTGAGTGTGTAGAGTGTGAGTGTGTAGAGTGTGTAGAGTGTGAGTGTGTAGAGTGTGAGTGTGTAGAGTGTGAGTGTGTAGAGTGTGTAGTGTGTAGAGTGTGTAGAGTGTGTAGAGTGTGTAGAGTGTGTAGAGTGTGTGAGTGTGTAGAGTGTGTGAGTGTGTAGAGTGTGTAGAGTGTGTAGTGTGTAGAGTGTGTAGTGTGTAGAGTGTGTAGAGTGTGTAGTGTGTGTGTGTGAGTGTGAGTGAGTGTAGAGTGTGTAGAGTGTGAGTGTGTAGAGTGTGAGTGTGAGTGTGTAGAGTGTGAGTGTGTAGAGTGTGAGAGTGTGAGTGTGTGTGTAGAGTGTGTAGAGTGTGTAGAGTGTGTAGAGTGTGAGTGTGTAGAGTGTGTAGAGTGTGTAGAGTGTGTGTGTAGAGTGTGTAGAGTGTGTAGAGTGTGTAGAGTGTGTGTGTAGAGTGTGTAGTGTGTAGTGTGAGTGTGAGTGTGTAGAGTGTGTAGAGTGTGAGTGTGTAGAGTGTGTAGTAGAGTGTGTAGAGTGTGTAGAGTGTGAGTGTGTAGAGTGTGTAGAGTGTGAGTGTGTAGAGTGTGTAGAGTGTGAGTGTGTAGAGTGTGAGTGTGAGTGTGTAGAGTGTGTAGAGTGTGAGTGTGTAGAGTGTGTAGAGTGTGTAGAGTGTGTAGAGTGTGTAGAGTGTGTAGAGTGTGAGTGTGTAGAGTGTGAGTGTGTAGAGTGTGTAGAGTGTGAGTGAGAGTGTGAGAGTGTGTAGAGTGTGTAGAGTGTGAGAGTGTGTAGAGTGTGTAGAGAGTGTGTAGAGTGTGTAGTGTGTAGAGTGTGTAGAGTGTGAGTGTGTAGAGTGTGTAGAGTGTAGAGTGTGAGTGTGTAGAGTGTGTAGAGTGTGAGTGTGTAGAGTGTGAGTGTGTAGAGTGTGTAGAGTGTGTAGAGTGTGTAGAGTGTGAGTGTGTAGAGTGTGAGTGTGAGTGTGTAGAGTGTGTAGAGTGTGAGTGTGAGTGTGTAGAGTGTGTAGAGTGTGAGTGTGTAGAGTGTGAGTGTGTAGAGTGTGTAGAGTGTGTAGAGTGTGTGTGTAGAGTGTGTAGAGTGTGAGAGTGTGAGTGTGTAGAGTGTGTAGAGTGTGAGTGTGTAGAGTGTGTGATGTAGTGTGTGAGTGTGTAGAGTGTGTAGAGTGTGAGAGTGTGTGTGTAGAGTGTGTGTGAGAGTGTGTAGAGTGTGTAGAGTGTGTAGAGTGTGAGTGTGAGAGTGTGTAGAGTGTGTAGAGTGTGAGTGTGTAGAGTGTGAGTGTGTGTGTAGAGTGTGTAGAGTGTGAGAGTGTAGAGTGTGTAGAGTGTGAGTGTGTAGAGTGTGTAGAGTGTGTAGAGTGTGAGTGTGTAGAGTGTGTAGAGTGTGAGTGTGTAGAGTGTGTAGAGTGTGAGTGTGTAGAGTGTGTAGAGTGTGAGAGAGTGTGGAGAGTGTAGAGTGTGTAGAGTGTGTAGAGTGTGTAGAGTGTGTAGAGTGTGAGTGTGTAGAGTGTGTAGAGTGTGAGTGTGTAGAGAGTGTGTAGAGTGTGTAGAGTGTGTAGTGTGAGTGTGTAGAGTGTGTAGAGAGTGTGTAGAGTGTGTGTGTGTAGAGTGTGTAGAGTGTGTGTGTAGAGTGTGTAGAGTGTGTGTGTAGAGTGTGTAGAGTGTGTAGAGTGTGTAGAGTGTGAGTGTGAGTGTGTAGAGTGTGTAGAGTGTGTAGAGTGTGAGTGTGTAGTGTGTAGTGTGAGTGTGTGAGAGTGTGTAGAGTGTGTAGAGTGTGTAGTGTGAGTGTGTAGAGTGTGAGTGTGTAGAGTGTGTAGAGTGTGTAGTGTGTAGAGTGTGTAGAGTGTGTAGAGTGTGAGAGTGTGTAGAGTGTGTAGAGTGTGAGTGTGAGAGTGTGTAGAGTGTGTAGAGTGTGTAGAGTGTGTAGAGTGTAGAGTGTGTAGTGTGTAGAGTGTGTAGAGTGTGTAGAGTGTGAGTAGTGTGTAGAGTGTGTAGAGTGTGAGAGTGTGAGTGTGTAGAGTGTGTAGAGTGTGTAGAGTGTGTAGTGAGTGTGAGAGTGTGTAGAGTGTGAGTGTGTAGAGTGTGTGAGTGTGTAGAGTGTGAGTGTGTAGTGTGTAGAGTGTGTAGAGTGTGAGTGTGTAGAGTGTGTAGAGTGTGAGAGTGTGTAGAGTGTGAGTGTGAGTAGAGTGTGTAGTGTGAGTGTGTAGAGTGTGTAGAGTGTGTAGAGTGTGTAGAGTGTGTAGAGTGTGTAGAGTGTGTAGAGTGTGTAGTGTGTAGAGTGTGTAGAGTGTGTAGAGTGTGAGAGTGTGAGTGTGTGAGTGTAGTGTGAGTGTGTAGTGTGGTAGTGTGTAGAGTGTGAGTGTGAGTGTGAGTGTGAGTGTGTAGAGTGTGAGTGTGTAGAGTGTGTAGAGTGTGAGTGTGTAGAGTGTGTAGTAGTGTGAGAGTGTGTAGTGTGGAGTGTGTAGAGTGTGTAGAGTGTGTAGAGTGTGTAGAGTGTGTAGAGTGTGAGAGTGTAGAGTGTGTAGAGTGTGTGTAGAGTGTGAGAGTGTGAGTGTGTAGAGTGTGAGAGTGTGAGTGTGTAGAGTGTGTAGAGTGTGTAGAGTGTGTAGAGTGTGAGTGTGTAGAGTGTGTAGAGTGTGAGTGTGTAGAGTGTGAGTGTGTAGAGTGTGTAGAGTGTGAGTGTGTAGAGTGTGTAGAGTGTGAGTGAGTGTGTGTGTAGAGTGTGAGAGTGTGTAGAGTGTGTAGTGTGTAGAGTGTGTAGAGTGTGTAGTGTGTAGTGTGTGTGTAGAGAGTGTGTAGAGTGTGAGTGTGAGTGTGTAGAGTGTGAGTGTTGTAGTGTGAGTGTGTAGAGTGTGTAGAGTGTGAGTGTGTAGAGTGTGTAGAGTGTGTAGAGTGTGTAGAGTGTGAGTGTTACTCGCCCCCGCGCTCCGGGTTCGTCCCACAGTCCCGCGGCTCCACGAAGAAATAAAATCCAACCGTGTGGAAATAATCCACAAAACACAGAGATATATTCTGATACTGTAACTGCACGGTCCTGACAACTCCCGACACGTGTCCATGTCGGTGTGTGACGTCACCCCCTCTGCACGTGTCCGCGCACACGTCCCTCCCCCCGAAACCCCCCGTGAGTCTGGAGAGGACGCAACAAACAAACAAACAAACAAACAAACTGATATAATATAATATAATAACGACACACACACGTGTAAAAGACCAAACACAAGAGAAAATAACAAATAAACATTTCACCCCCGCGGAGTCAACAGAACCTTAGTGTTCTATACAACTCTAACTCTATATAACTCTATACAACTCTAACTCTATATAACTCTATACAACTCTAACTCTATATAACTCTATACAACTCTACCTATGTAACTATGTATAACTCTATATCACTTTATAACTCTATAATTTTATAACTCTATATATTATAACTCTATAACTCTACATAAATCTATGTAACTCTGTATAACTCTATATAAGTGTGAACATTTCCATATTTGGAATTCCGACCGCAAGTGTCACAACAACCAAAGAGCCAATCAGATTCTCCCGTACACTCGCTGGCCTCGATGAGCTTCATTTGAAGCAGACGTCACAATCGTTACACACTGTGTGATCCAGCTCCTCAAACGTCACACTCAGAATCTTTACACACTGTGTGATCCGGCTCCTCAAACTCGTCGTGTTCATCTTGGCTGTGTGTCGTTTCTCGTTCTTCTTTTCTGATTCTTCACTTGTGGATTGTGCAGGAAAAAGAAGAGAAAGAGGAAGAGGAAGTCCGGACCACAGACGAGAACGACAGAGGAGAAGAAAAGAGAGGAGACAAGGAGCGAAGGGTGAAAGACAAACTCTGACCAACATGACCCGAACAGGACGCAGGACTAGAATAAGGATCATTATATCAGCCGTTCTTCACTTATTTATTTAGTGAATTATAAAGTTAAATCTAAAGGAAATCTGTAAACTGGAGCGATTAGAGATTTGAATATATTGTTTATGTTTTTAAACACTTTTGACCTAAATGTAAATGAAAATCAGGTCATTTTTTGTGATGTGGTGTCATAAATTTTTGTCAACTCCGTCACATTAGATATACTATTTAAACAGAACTGGAGAGAGTCTGGGCCTTTCGTGAGCTCATAAAATCTACTCACAGATGGAACAAAAAAATAATAATAGAAACCAGCTGCAGCGTTTAGCGAGTTTAACAAGGGGAAAAAAAACTGCACTTATGTCAACTCTGTTAGTCGTCAACTCTGTCACATTTCAAGTCTAAAATTTAATTTATGAGTTTCGAATTTTCAAAGATTAATGTAATATATATTTATAAAACACAAATAACATTTTTTAATCCTGTTCCAGTCTTGGTTTAATCCTGGTTCAGTTCTGGTTTAGTCCTGGTTCAGATTCAAACCTGGATCTTCTCTCTGTTGTAGGTGGAGTCTGTGTCGTACATGACCCTGAACGTCACCGTGCTCCGAGCCAAGACCGAGACCAACCAGGACTTCTGTGAGGACGGGAGGGCATCTGGGGCACGGGGAGGGCACAGTCCTGGTTCAGGCCTGGTTTAACTCTGATTTAGTCCTGGTTCAGTCTTGGTTTAGTCCTGGTTCTATGGAGACAGGTCATTGTCACAAAATTCACAAAAACATTTCTTGGTCCAGATATAATTCTGGACAAAGATAATTCATGACGTACAAATAAACGTCACGACTTTCACAAAAAAATTTCTAACTCGAAAATGTGACATGATTCACAAATGTCGGTGCATTTACGCTTATTTAAACCAATGAAGCTGCGTTTACAAAACCTCATACAGATTTGTGACTCCCCTGTGTTCATCTGTGGATTTTTGAGACTTTCCTGAACCTGTTCCTGCACAAATGTGTTTTTATTTTAGCTGAAGTTGGAGCGTGTGGTTTGTGGTTTGTGGTTTGTGGTTGTCGTCGTGTTTGGGTCCAGACGTTCCAGATCATTTTCAGGTCGACTGGTCGACTCTGATCTGGCCAAGATTTTAAAACTTATGACTAATATTCTGATTAACTTCAGAATATCACAAATGATGAACAATCAATGACAGTTTGTGAATGAAATCAACATGAACGATCAGAGCCCAGTTTAAAAACACTTACAAATGTGTTTTACATGATTTGTTTATTTGATCCACACTAAACATTTTCCACATTTTGAGGTTTTACTGGACAAATCTTCACAGAAACGTTAAGCCCACAACAGTTTTTCACTTCATCTACAGCAGGAGAGTCGACCTCAAACTCACAGAGGCCAAAATTAAAAACTGGGACTAAGTCGTGGGCCAAACTAAATATTTACTGAAAAATTTCAACAATATCTGCAAGTTTTCTCTTCTTTGGAGATCTGTAATGAGCAAAGTCAATAAGATTTGTAGCTTGGAATTTTAACATAGTTGCTTATTTTTTGATATAATGTCATAAAACTGAAGCATTTAGATCAGCTCCAAAGTTAAACATTGTAAATATTTTATGTGAGCTTCATTTTGACTCTATTTACTCGAGAATTTTGGACATTCTGATGACTTGAAAGTGTCTGTAACAGGGGCCGAGTCTTTAGGGGTTAAACAAAAGCTGCTTTGAAAAGTCGTAAATGTTCAGAAATATGAAGCAGTTAAAGCGACGAACTGGCTCCTCTGCTTCAGTCAAAATGACACGACCTGGATGATCAAGTTCAGTCACGAAAAAAGGACTTTAAACGAGTTAAACACATTTCATTTGTGACATTTGTGCAGGAACAGGTTCAGGAAAGTCTCAAAAATCCACAGATGAACACGGGAGTCTCAAATCCGTGTGGGGTTTTTGTAAACGCAGCTTCATTGGTTTAAATAAACGTAACTGCACCGACATTTGTGAATCACGTCACATTTTCTTTTGAGTCAGAAATGTTTTTGTGTGAGTCGTTATGTTTATTTGTAGGTCATGAATTATCTTTGTGAATGTTGTTATATTTGTTTCTGGACCAAGAAATGTTGTTGTGAATGTCCTGAGATTTATTTGGTACAAACCTGTCTCCATATGGTTCAGTCCTGGTTGAGTCTTGGTTTAGTCCTGACCTCAGTCCGGTCTTTCAGGGTCTCAGTCGGACCTGTACGTGACTCTGACGTTGCCGACGGCGATGGCCACGATTCGAAGAACCAAAACCATCAACCACAACAACCAACCTGTGTGGAACGAAGGCTTCAGCTTCAGAGTCCCCACAAAGACCAAGGTCAGTCCTGGAGTCTAGACCTGGGTCAGACCTGGGTTAGACCTGGTTCAGTCTTAAGGCCTATTCATATTTCATAAGAACATAAGAACTTTGCTTTTGCACCAGGAGCTGCTCAAAAAAAATGTTGTCATGTTCTTGGTCCAGCTCCTGTTCAGTTCTTGTGGTTTTTTCTCGACTCTTCAGCTGAGCACAACTTTGTTCGTCATCGCTGTCCCACATCTTTGCTCTGATTGGTTATTTATGTGGGTGTGGTTTATCTGCTTCCTCACTGGTGCAGAGCAAGAAAAAAAAAAAAGATGGTTCTGAGTCAGAGCTGGAGGAAACGATAATTGTTTAATGGTCGATCTGTACAAAACGACAGTGTCGATAAAGAGAAAAATGAAACAAATTCATGAAGGGAGATCACCGACATTTTAGGCTCGGACAAAAATCTATGTAGAAAAGTCTGACATGATGTCTGCGACAAGTTACGAAAGCCAACTGAAACTGAAGTATGAAATGTCAGAACCCAAATGAACTTTGTTCTTGTTCTTGAGGCGATAAGAACGAGAATAAAGTTCATTTGGGTTCTGACATTTTATGTTCTCATGAAGTATGAATCGGCCTTTAGTCCTGTTTGTCTGTAGAACGTTCTGGAGATCCGTCTGTTTGATGAGGACCTTCTCTCGAAAGACGACCTGATCTCCACCGTCCTCCTCGACCTGGAGACTCTGGAGCTCGACTCGAAGATCTGCAGGTCCTTCAGCCTGAACCCAGAGGTCAGGGGTCACTCTGGAACTGTTACCTAGCAACCATCAACAACTGTCCCAACACGGGGTTAAATTATACACTCACCTGTCTCACCTGTAACTCACCTGTAACTCACCTGTAACTCACCTGTCTCACCTGTCTCACCTGTAACTCACCTGTAACTCACCTGTCTCACCTGTAACTCACCTGTAACTCACCTGTCTCACCTGTAACTCACCTGTCTCACCTGTAACTCACCTGTCTCACCTGTAACTCACCTGTAACTCACCTGTAACTCACCTGTCTCACCTGTAACTCACCTGTAACTCACCTGTACCTGTACTCACCTGTAACTCACCTGTCTCACCTGTAACTCACCTGTAACACCTGTAACTCACCTGTAACTCACCTGTTTCAACTGTAACTCACCTGTAACTCACCTGTAACTCACCTGTACTTTACCTGTCCTGCACCTGTAACTCACCTGTCTCACCTGTAACTCACCTGTCTCACTTGTAACTCACCTGTCTCACTTGTAACTCACCTGTACTTTACCTGTCCTGCACCTGTCCTGCCCCTGTCCTGTCCCTGTTGTGTTCAGACGCAGGACGCTCTGGAGGTGGAGTTTGAGTTGACCAACAGGTGAGTTTTGATCTTTGACGTTTGTGTATTTTGGACAGAGTTGGATTTGTTGGTGTTGTTCACAGTCGCTGTTTTCTCTGCTCTGTCTAAATGTTCTTTGTGTTTCCAGTGAAGAGGAGACTCAGGAGTACCTGTCCAACGGGATCCTGATGGTGAGTGCCTCTGTCAGCACCAGCTTTAGGCTTAAACCAGATGCCCCGCAGGAGGCTTCAGGTCTGAGCTCGTCTGTGTTCAGGGACCAGGGTCAGATGTGTGTTCTTCTCTAAAGTCCAGCTCAGCTCAGGAGGAAACACCACAACAAGTCACACACAAAGATCCAATAAAACACAAAGATCCAATAAAACACAAAGATCCAACAAAACACAAAGATCCAACAAAAACAAAAGATCAACAAAACACAAAGATCCAACAAAACACAAAGATCCAACAAAACACAAAGATCCAATAAAACACAAAGATCCAACAAAACACAAAGATCCAATAAAACACAAAGATCCAACAAAACACAAAGATCCAATAAAACACAAAGATCCAACAAAACACAAAGGGCCAACAAAACACAAAGATGCAACAAAACACAAAGATGCAACAAAACACAAAGATCCAATAAAACACAAAGATCCAATAAAACACAAAGGTCCAACAAAACACAAAGGTCCAACAAAACACAAAGATCCAACAAAACACAAAGATCCAACAAAACACAAAGATCCAATAAAACACAAAGATCCAACAAAACACAAAGATCCAATAAAACACAAAGATCCAACAAAACATAAAGGTCCAACAAAACACAAAGATCCAACAAAACACAAAGATCTGTGTGTGAGGATCTGCTGCTCCTGTTCCTCCTGCACCACTGTCACTTGGCTCTGCTGCTCATGTCTCCTACACAAAGAGCCTCTGTTCTGCTGCGAGTCGTGAAATCTGCAGCTGGAGCTGGAAATGGAGCAGCAGATCCTGTCGGGATTCTGAAAGACCCAATAAATCTAACTGAACTGAGTCTGAGTCTGACGACAGCGACACAGAAGAGTTTGTGTGGCTCCGTTTCCCTCCGGAGGTCGAGGTCGAGTTGTTCAGAAGTGACACGAGGATGAAGAACTGAAGTGATTTAATGATTTGGAGTGAGATGGACTGAAGAACTCAACACAACACGGCCGCAGGAGGTCTGGGCGCTGCAGCGCCTCTAGTGGCGAGAGGGAGATTATTATGTTTTTCTTAAATGATCAGAGGCGATGTTAAAGTTTATGTGTCAATAAAATGTTGAATTAAAATCTATTTATTTATATTTTAGATGTATTTTAAATTGGCCTATAGGGTCAGAGGGTTTAAAAAAAAGAACTCCAGGTCTGAGCGACGAGGAAACGACATCAGAACATAAATCTGTCCTTCAAAGTCCAAACTTGTCATAAAAATGATCTTGAACTTGTTTTTCAGGCGGCTCCTCTGTCTGTGCTCAACGTCAAAGTGCAGAAGCTCCTCCACACTCACCGTAAGAGACGAGACACTGACCCCTGACCCCTGACCCCTGACCTCTGACCCCTGACCTCTGACCTCTGTGGATTGTTCTGTTGTCACTGTGACATTTTAAATCTCAGTCTTGATCTAAAACCAGTTCAGAAAGAAACAAATGCGACGACTTCAGAGTTAGAAAACTGTGGAGTCCAGAGGAGCTGATGTGGACTGAACCAGGACTGAACCAGGACTAAACCAGGACTAAACCAGGACTGAACCAGGACTAAACCAGGACTAAACCAGGACTGAACCAGGACTGAACCAGGACTAAACCAGGACTAAACCAGGACTGAACCAGGACTAAACCAGGACTAAACCAGGACTGGAACCAGGACTGAACCAGGACTGGGACTAAACCAGGACTAAACCAGGACTGAACCAGGACTGAACCAGGACTGGACTAAACCAGGACTGAACCAGGACTAAACCAGGACTAAACCAGGACTAACCAGGACTAAACCAGGACTGAACCAGGACTAAACCAGGACTAAACCAGGACCCAGGACTGAACCAGGACTGAACCAGGACTGAAACCAGGACTAAACCAGGACTAAACCAGGACTAAACCAGGACTGAACCAGGACTGAACCAGGACTAAACCAGGACTAAACCAGGACTGAACCAGGACTAACCAGGACTGAAACCAGGACTAAACCAGGACTAAACCAGGACTAAACCAGGACTGGACTAACCAGGACTAAACCAGGACTAAACCAGGACTGAACCAGGACTGAACCAGGACTGAACCAGGACTGAACCAGGACTAAACCAGGACTGAACCAGGACTGAACCAGGACTGAACCAGGACTAAACCAGGACTGAACCAGGACTGAACCAGGACTGAACCAGGACTAAACCAGGACTAACCAGGACTAAACAGGACTGAACCAGGACTGAACCAGGACTGAACCAGGACTAAACCCAGGACTGAACCAGGACTAAACCAGGACTGAACCAGGACTGAACCAGGACTAAACCAGGACTGAACCAGGACTGAACCAGGACTGAACCAGGACTAAACCAGGACTGAACCAGGACTGAACCAGGACTGAACCAGGACTGAACCAGGACTGAACCAGGACTGAAACCAGGACTAAACCAGGAACTAAACCAGGACTGAAACCAGGACTGAACCAGGACTGAACCAGGACTGAACCAGGACTAAACCAGGACTGAACCAGGACTGAAACCAGGACTGAACCAGGACTGAACCAGGACTGAACCAGGACTGAACCAGGACCAGGACTGAACCAGGACTGAACCAGAACCAGGACTTGAACCAGGACTGAACCAGGACTGAACCATGAACTCAGGACTCCTTCTGTCTTTTCTCTCTCTGTCTCTGTCTGTGTGTTTATGTGTTTGTTTCTTTGTGCGTCTGTGTCCAGTCCAGTCTTTTCTCTCTGTTTACTGTTTATCTGTTTTTATCGGTTTATTTATCGGTTGGTTTTGTGTCCAGTTCTTTGGTGTTCTCCGATGTTGACTCTGTGTGGAGCCTATGAGAAGGTTCAGCCTCTGGATCCGGACACAGACAAACTCGTGTTCCACATGAACCGAGAGCTGGAGACGCAGCTCGCGCTCACCGTGAGCATCTACTCCAACATCTGTTTGTCTGTTTGTTTGGAAAAATCACCACATTCAGACTCCACTTCTACCACATCACCACCAAATCACCACATTCACATGGAGAGTCCAGAGCTACAGAAACCCAGAGCGGCAAACATGAAAAAAAAAAAAAAAAAAAAGAGGCATGAAATTTGTTATTTTTTTTTTAAACCAACAAGACGAGAAACAAAGAGCTAAAAAAATGCATTTATTTATTTTCTTTACTATTTATGTGGCTGATAAAAAGTGTTTTCTCAGTTTATATACTAATACTAAAAAAAAAAAAAAAAAAAGTAGTAGCTGTTTGTGAAAATAAGGCAAGATTTTTATTTATTTATTTTTTTTGCCACTCAGGGCTTCTGTACCTCACACACACACACACACACACACACACACACACACACACACACACACGCACACACACACACACACACACACACACACACACACACACACACACACACACACACACACACACACACACGCACACACACACACACACACACACACACACACACACACACACACACACACACACACACACACACACACACACACGCACACACACACACACACACACACACACACACACACACACACACACACACACACACACGCACACACACACACACACACACACACGCACGCACGCACGCACACACACACACACACACACACACACACACATACACACATACACACAGACACACACACACACACACACACACACACAGACACACACACACACACACACACACACATACACACACACACACACACACACACACACACACGCACGCACGCACACACACACACACACACACACACACACACACATACACACATACACACAGACACACACACACACACACACACACACACACACACATACACACAGACACACACACGCACGCACGCACGCACGCACACACACACACACACACACACACACACACACACACACACATACACACACACACACACACGCACGCACGCACACACACACACACACACACACACACACACATACACACATACACACAGACACACACACACACACACACACACACACACACACACACACACACACACACACACACACACACACACACACACACACACACACACACACACACACACACACACACACACACACACACACACACACACGCACAGGGACAGAGAGAATGTGGAGAGATTTCTTCATAAATAATAGTTTTTGTATGAACTCCTGTGCAGGTGTGGACTTGTGTTTGTGCGTGTTCATGTACCTGTATGTGTGTGTGTGTGTGTGTGTATGTGTGTGTAGGTGTGTGTGTGTGTGTGTGTGCGTGTGTGTGTGTGTGTGTGTGTGTGCGTGTGTGTGTGTGTGTGTGTACTTGTGTGCGTCTGTGTGTTTTGCCTGGAGACTGATGTCTGTCTTTATGTTTTACAAACAGGTTCAAGTAAATATAGTCAGGCTCAGACAAGCCCCAGGAATCAAAGAGCGAAGGAGGAGAGGAGGAGAGGAGGGAGGAGGGAGGAGAGGAGGGAGGGAGGAGGGAGGAGGGAGGAGGGAGGAGGGAGGAGGGAGAGGAGGGAGGAGAGGAGGAGGAGAGGAGGAGGGAGGAGGGAGGAGGAGGAGGAGGGAGGAGGGAGGAGAGGAGGAGGAGGAGAGGAGGAGAGGAGGGGAGGAGAGGGAGGAGGGAGGAGGGAGGAGGGAGGAGAGGGAGGAGGGGAGGAGGGAGGAGGGAGGAGGGAGGAGGGAGGAGGGAGGAGAGGGAGGAGGAGGGGAGGAGGGAGGAGAGGAGGGAGGAGGGAGGAGGGAGGAGGGAGGAGGGGAGGAGGAGGAGGAGGAGGGAGGAGGGAGGAGGAGGAGGGAGGAGGAGGCTGGGGACCAAAAAAAAAACAGCCCTGAACTTTTCCACCACAAATAAACCAACAATAATTTAAATAATTCATGAATAATTACAAATAAATCAATAATGAAATAATTGAAGAAAACTCACAAAGATGAACAACGTTCAAAGTGACTCGACTCTTTTGTCTTTAACCTTTTCCTGTTTTTAACGTCTTTTGTCACATTTTAGTCCAGTGCAGTTTACACTTGACAAATGGGAAATGATCGTTTGGTTTTATGGAGACGAGACGGAGACGACGGTTTGGGTTTGGAGACATAAAGAGAGAGAAAAGGAGGGAGAGTGAGTTTTCCTGAGGCCGGGTTTTCAGGGACAGACGTCGGATGTTTTGTTGGAACCTGAAACTGTTGAAAGGTCAAAGCTCCAAAGGGGAAAACTGCAGAAGTTTTACACAAAATACAGAGTTAAACAACTTAACTCACTTAACGAACTCTACAAGATGAGCTGATCACTGGAAAACTAACACTTCATGACATCACAGGGTGGAACAGAGCATTTGGAGCTGTGGAGGTGGAGACTAAAACTGCCCACGCTGAAGTTTAGACCTTTACACACGTGTGTGTGTGTGTGTCAGTCCATCAGAAATCAGCCATAAAGAATCTCCCCTGTGAGCCGTCTCAGGTTTGGCTGAAAAAAATAAAAGTGTTCAGATTTAGAATCTATGATCAAGAATCTACAATAAAACAAATCTCCAACTGTTTTCCCTTAGAACAAGTGATGAGTGTTTAAGTTTATTAAAGGGAATTGAACTTTTCTGCAGGTGGAAAAGTCCCTGAGCTTCTCCAAAAACGACCCACGAGACTCATTTTCAAAACTTCTATTTGAAATGAAGAAAGTTAATAGTCGATGTTTTTATGACTTTAAACTGAACTGAATCTGACAAAGTTTCTCTGGTACAAATGTGATCAAATCGAACTGTGTCACATGAGGAACCGAGGTCCAAAGAAGAGGCCAAAAAGATCAAACCTGGACTGAGACTCTCCACCGTCCACATGAAAACTCACAACAGTGGGAGATTTGGGTCAGAAATGTTCATTCTGTCAAATATTCAGGTTCAGTTTGTAAAGATCTGCTTGGAGGAAACAGATCTTGGACCTTAAAAACTGAAAAAAATAAAAATAAAAAATTGAGCGGCAACTAAATGTGATTTTTTGGGGCCACAGCCACAACTTTAATAAAGACACAATATTTGACACAGATTCAGAATCTCTGACCAAGAATCTACAATAAAACACATTTTCATCTTCCTCGCTCCATTCTGATGAAGTTCTGGTCTCAAACATGTTTATAAATTAAAGTTTCAGAAAAAGTGAACATGGCCCCAAAATTTCAACGAACTAAAACTCAGGAACGACTCAAAAGGACTGAGAGAAAATTTGACATTTTTTCATTTGGTCATTTTAGAAATTAAAAAAAAAATTTCAGCCAAATCTGAGACAGATGATAGAGGAGGGCGGCTGATTTCATCTGGACTGACCCGTGTGTTTGTGTGTGTTTGTGTGTGTTGTGTTTGTGTGTTGTGTGTGTGTGTTTGTGTGTGTTTGTGTGTGTTGTGTTTGTGTGTTGTGTGTGTGTGTGTTTGTGTGTTTTACTCTGGTGTTTGTCGTTTCAGGAGGTGAAGGTGACAGAAGAGATCGAGGTGGAGAAACAGAACGTGGTTTTTTCGAGTGTTCTGAAGCTCCTCCCCTCTCGCCACTCAGGACACGTCTCCCTCTCTGTGGACCAGGTGTGTGTAAATGTGTGTGTAAATGTGTGTGTAAGTGTGTGTGTAAGTGTGTGTGTGTAAATGTGTGTGTGTAAATGTGTGTCTAAATGTGTGTGTAAATGTGTGTGTGTAAATATGTGTGTAAATATGTGTGTAAATGTGTGTATGTAAGTGTGTGTGTGTAAATGTGTGTGTAAATGTGTGTGTGTGTGTGTGTGTAAATGTTTGTGTAAATGTGTGTGTAAATGTGTGTAAATGTGTTTGTGTGTAAATGTGTGGGTAAATGTGTGTAAATTGTGTGTAAATGTGTGTGTGTAAATGTTTGTAAATGTGTGTGTAAATGTGTGTAAATGTGTGTGTAAATGTGTGTAAATGTGTGTGTAAATGTGTGTAAATTTGTGTGTAAATGTGTG